GACTGAAAACAGAGGAAGATGTTAGCCTAGCTTAGCACAAAGACTGAAAACAGAGGAAGATGTTAGCCTAGCTTAGCATAAAGACTGAAAACAGAGGAAGATGTTAGCCTAGCTTAGCACAAAGACTGAAAACAGAGGGAGATGTTAGCCTGACGCAGTGAGAAGCAGTATCTGTTGGTTTCAGGGTCACAGGTCAGATCTGGACAGCACTTGAATAAAAATAATTTGTGTTTTCAGAACTAATCTGCTTTGGCTCCACACTACGTTTGCCTTCATGTATCTCCTGCTGACGGTCTACAGCATGAGGAGACACACGTCCAAGATGCACTACAAGGAGGATGACCTGGTAGGCACAAGGTCCTGAACAGAGTTTGAACCAGYTTCTGTGGTGGGTCATTAATCTCAGTTTTGTGTCTTGCAGGTGAAACGCACTTTATTCATTAACGGGATTTCTAAGTATGCTGAGGAGGGTCAGATCAAGCAGCACTTTGAGTAAGTCCCCTGGTTGCAATGAGACTGTGGACCGGTTCTGGTTCTGGTTCTGGTTCTGGTTCTGGTTCTGGTTGGTTTGAACTGTTCGTCTCTGTGCTGTCTTGCAGGCAGGCGTATGAGAATTGCACTGTGTTGGAGGCTCAAATCTGTTATAATGTGGCCAAACTGATGGCTCTGAATGCTGAGAGGTTTGTCAGCCCCAGTGCATGCTGGGATATGAACCCTGACCCGTGGAACCATCACATCTAGCAGTTCTGGACTGGTTTTTGAACATTGTGGGGTTTATCGAGCTGAGTGTCTGTAATGTCTCTGTGTTTGTGTTGACAGGAAGAAGACGGAGCGCAGTAAGAAGTTCTTCACTGACCTGATGGCGAAGGAACACGTTCCCACCATGATCAACCCCAAACCCTGCGGACACCTGTGCTGCTGCACCATCACCGGCTGTGAGGAGGTGATGCTCACAAAACTCACCCTTTAGACAAAAGTTTAACTGAAGTCCAGGCTCGGGTCAGCTGAGCCGTGTGTCGTTACGCCTCCTGAATGTGGGCATGTCTCTGTTTGTCCTGCAGGAAGAGGCGGTCAGCTACTACACAAAGATGGAGGCCAAGCTGAAAGAGGAGTACAGGAAGGAGAAGGAAAAGGTCCACACCAAACCACTGGGCATGGCCTTCGTCACTTTCCAGAACGAGGCCATGACTGCCATGTAAGCCCCGCCCCAAATTAACCACACTCCATTCTGTTGGTAGCTCCTCCCACTTATTTTGTATTTTACATCCAGGTGATTGAACTGTTTGATATTGCACCGTATTGCCCATCCTCTCTGACTCCTCCCCGTCACCTGTCCTCTCTGACTCCTCCCCGTCACCTGTCCTCTCTGACTCCTCCCCGTCACCTACCCTCTCTGACTCCTCCCCGTCACCTGTCCTCTCTGACTCCTCCCCGTCACCTGTCCTCTCTGACTCCTCCCCGTCACCTACCCTCTCTGACTCCACCCATCACCTGTCCTCTCTGACTCCTCCCGTCTCACCCATCACCTGTCTTCTCTGGCTCCACCCATCACCTGTCCTCTCTGACTCCACCCATCACCTGTCCTCTCTGACTCCACCCATCACCTGTCCTCTCTGACTCCACCCATCACCTGTCTTCTCTGGCTCCACACATCACCTGTCCTCTCTGACTCCACCCATCACCTGTCCTCTCTGAATCCACCCATCACCTGTCCTCTCTGACTCCGCCCCTCTGTTTTCACAGCATCCTGAAGGACTTTAACGCCTGTCAGGTGCAGGGTTGTCGGTGTCAGCTGGAGCCTCAGTCGTCTCAGTTCAGTGAGGTCCTCCATGTTTACAACTGGAGCGTTTCGTACGCGCCCGACCCGCAGAACGTCCGCTGGTACATAAACAAGCCCCGCCCTCCTCAGACCACACCCACTCTGAATGAATCAACTGAAGTGTTTTGAACATCCTGCAGGGAGAACTTATCGCTGGGGGGGATCTCCTGGTGGATCCGCTGCTTCATCATCAACTGCATCCTCTTCCTCCTGCTCTTCTTCCTCACCACGCCCGCCATCATCATCTCCACCATGGACAAGTTCAACGTCACCAAGCCTGTGGAGTACCTGAACGTGAGGAGCTTCAGCTTCAGTCACACTGTTCTCCCTCTGGTCCTTCTGAGCCTTCATGTCTGACTCTTTGTGTTTGTTTGTTTGTTTGTTTGTTTGTTTGTTTGTTTGTTTGTTTGTTTGTTTGTTTGTTTGTTTGTTTGTTTGTTTACAGAACCCCATCGTCACTCAGTTCTTCCCCACCCTGCTGCTCTGGGCCTTTTCTGCGTTGCTCCCCACCATCGTCTACTACTCTGCTTTCTTTGAGGCCCACTGGACCAGGTATCACTGCCTCCTCGTCCTCAGTCCTGTTACACTGAGCCTGGTCAGAACCAGTTTTAAACCAGTCTGAACCAACCAGAACCAGTTTGAACCAGTCTGAACCAACCAGAACCAGTTTGAACCAGTCTGAACCAACCAGAACCAGTTTGAACCAGTCTGAACCAACCAGAACCAGTCTGCTGAACTCTGAGTCCAGTTAGAACTGCCCCACTTAAACCTGAGTCCAGTCAGAGATTTTTATGGTAGAACTGAGCCAGCGATCAGCTGAAGATCAGCTAAAGTTCAGCTGAATATCAGCTAAAGTTCAGCTGAATATCAGCTAAAGTTCAGCTGAAAATCAGCTGAATATCAGCTAAAGTTCAACTAAAGTTCAGCAGAAGTTCAACTAAAGTTCAGCAGAAGATCAGCTAAAGTTCAGCTGAAGATCAGCTAAAGTTCAGCTGAAGATCAGCTAAAGTTCAGCTAAAGTTCAGCTGAAAATCAGCTAAAGTTCAGCTGAAGATCAGCTAAAGTTCAGCTGAAGATCAGGTAATGGGGTGGAGGTGTGGTGTCACATATATCCTGATCAGAACATCTGTTCCTACAGGTCCGGAGAGAACAGGACCACGATGCACAAGTGTTACACCTTCTTGATCTTCATGGTCCTGCTGCTGCCGTCTCTTGGACTCAGCAGGTAGGAGACCTCGGGTTTGGTGGTCCTCTGGACAGAAATGGTCCAGGTCTGCTGTGTCTCACTCCTCTGTCTTGTTCTCCAGTCTGGATGTTTTCTTCCGCTGGCTGTTTGATAAGAAGTTCCTGGCTGATGCTAAAATCAGATTTGAGTAAGTTGTTTATTGATTTTATGTTAAAACCTCCTAAACCTGGTCCAAGACCTGGACCACATGACCACGCATCAACTATTCAGCTGTTCATTAACCATACTGAGCTCTCCACGGGTGCTCYGGTCTTACAGATTTTAGACCTTATAAGTCTTACAGGTTTCAGGTCTTACAGGTACTACAGGTTACAGGTTTTAGAGGTCTCACAGGTTTTAGGTTCTACAGGTTTCTGGTCTTACAGGTTTCTGGTATTACAGGTTACAGGTCTTACAGGTACTACAGGTTACAGGTCTTAGAGGTCTCACAGGTTTTAGGTATTACAGGTTACAGGTCTTACAGGTTTCTGGTCTTACAGGTTTCAGGTCTTACAGGTTTCAAGTCTTACAGGTTTCTGGTCTTACAGGTTTCAAGTCTTACAGGTTTCAGGTCTTACAGGTTTCTGGTCTTACAGGTTTCAAGTCTTAATCAATCAATCAACTTTATTTATAGAGCACYTTTTAAAAACCACAAGGACAACCAAAGTGCTGTACAGTAAGACAAGTTAAGACAATAAAAGAAACATAAAACACATATCAGGGTCACAGCAGGTGAGCACAAGTTGCCATTATAAAACAAAATCACATTGTGTTAAAAGCCAGAGAGTAAAATTGTGTTTTTAAAAGAGATTTAAAAACAGGAAGTGATGAAGCCTGTCTGACACTCAGGGGAGGATTGTTCCACAACTTGGGACCGACATCAGAAAATGCTCTGTTGTTTAGGGATGATCAGCAGCAGCTGATCATCTGATCTTAGGGGTCGGGGTGGGCAGATACAAGATTGTTCAAACATTTGAAAACAAAGAACAGCAGCTTAAACTGAATTCTGTAGTGAACAGGGAGCCAGTGAAGGGACACCAGGATGGGAGTGATATACTCGCACCTGCAGGTCTGAATTCAGAGGCGAGCAGCAGAGTTCTTCACAAGCTGCAGGCGGGAGAGAGAGGTCTGACTAATGCCTACATACAGTGGATTACAATAATCGAGGCGAACTGTGATAAAAACATGGATTAATTTTTCCAGGTCAGATCTCACCAAGATTGATTTCACCTTTGCTGTTTGACGTAGCTGATAAAAACTCTTCTGAATAACACTGCTATCTGTTTGTCAAATTTAAAATCAGACTCAAACTTCACCCACAAATTGGTGACAGTCCCTGAGATGGAGTGACAGTGAGCCAAGATCTACGCTGGGGGAGGAGGAGCCACTCGATCCAAACAACATAACTTCAGTCTTATTTTCATTTAGACTAAGGTAGTTAAGAGAGAACCATGCTTTAATATCATTAAGACAGTGTATGAGTTGGACTATGTTGTTTTGTGCAAAGGGAAAATAGATCTGGCAGTCATCAGCATAACAGTGAAATGAAATACCAAACTTCCTAAAAACAGAGCCAAGTGGAAATAGGTAAAGGGCAAATAAAAGGGGGCCAAGGATTGATCTCTGGGGCACCCCATGTGGAAGGGGAGCTGTGGAGGACATAGAGTTGTCAATCTTTACACAAAAACTCCTATTAGACAACTAGGACCGAAACCAATTGAGGGCGACACCCCTAATGCCCACACAGTGCTCAAGATGAGAGATTAAAATGCTGTGGTCAATGGTGTCAAATGCAGTGGACAAATCTAAAAGCACTAAAACAGCAAACTTTCCGGAATCTGTTGACAAAAATGTCATTTGTAACTCTTAAAAGCGCACTCTCTGTGTGTGTGTACTGTGGAGGGGTTTAAACCCAGACTAAAATGGCTCAGTGATACCATTGTTGACTAAAAATGGTAACAACTGGTTTTAGACAACCTTCTCTAAATTTTTAGAAATAAATGAAAGATTGGAGATAGGCCTAAAGTTGGAGCAGATAGATGGATCAAGACCTGTTTTTTAAGTAGAGGATGTACAAATGCATGCTTAAAAACTTCAGSTACTGTACCTGATGAAAGACGTATTGATAATCTGTAGTACACTTGGTCCAATATTTGCAAGAACCTCCTTAAATAAGCGAGGTGGGATAGGGTCTAAAGAGGAACCAGAGGATATGACCAACTGTTTCCTTCAAAACAGAAAAGGATACCGACTCGAACTGATGAAAAAAATGATGAGTAGTGTAAAGGAAGACCAGGGTCATAGGGAGGCTGAGAAATACTGGATCTAATTGACADAATATTGTCAGTGAAGAAGTGAAGAAAACTTTCACAGGTTCCACTGGAGGCATCAGAACCAACAAACTTAGAATCATTGGGCCTCATGCAAGAACCGTTCGTACGCACAGATTTGTTCTTAAGTTGTGCYTACGAGTGATTTAGGAGAATTTGTGGCATTCACCAATGTTTTCGTATTCTAAGATTTTTTTCAGATACGAACAAAATTCAGGAGTGGTCCAGACCTGTCGTATATTTTACCAGCAGTCAGTCTGCTGTTATCCAGACGGGTTTTCTTCACTAAGAACTTTATATTTCATTAGTTTGAAGATATTTAGAGTTGAAAATAAATRACACTCCATAATTATGTTGACAATAGGCTATTCTGCTTGAATTAGAGTTATAATTTTAAATGTAATAATTTAGACTAACAATATAAATTGTCCGTCCGTCTGTTTTCCGCCGCTTATCCGGGATCAGGTCTCGGTGGCAGCAGAGAGACCCCCTCTCTCCAGCGACACCTTCCAGCTCGTCCTGGGGGACTCTGAGACGTTCCCAGACCAGAGGAGATACATAATCCCTCCAGTGAGTCCTGGGTTTTCTCCAAAGTGCCAGACTTATTTTGAAATCATTTTAAAATGCTTATTTCAGACCCGCATCTGAGACCACCTACAACCGCGCAGCGCGCGGGGAGGGGGGCGGTGGGGGGTACGGTGCGCAACGGTGTGTCTTCTGAATAAATGAAAATGATTTAACACAGTTGTTTATACTTTTAGCAGCTCTTTTTATTCCACAGCTGACCTGCTAAAAATGACAGATTTTCTTTTCTGGATCTCTGACAGACGGACTTCAATCTCTGAACTCGTAAAGTTRTTCTTTTTAGTTTTDYCTGTCATTTTCATGAATGGACACTTCCTGATATCTGAGGCAGGAAACATAGCCTTATATGGTGTTTTTGGGGTGGTAATTATGCTAATCTCCTCTSGCGTGCACGAGCAGCTGGATAGAACAGGTGAATTTACGCAGCTCATTTACAGACTTTTCCTGAAGATAGAAGAGTTTGTTGAATCAGACGTGACATGTTCGTACGAACCCTTTGTACGAACAAAAGTAAGAGAAATTTAGGATGAGTACGAACATGTTCTTGCATGAGGCCCAATAAGAACAGAGTCTAGAGTTTTGAACAAAACACTGGGTTTATTAAAGATCTTACAGGTTTGAGGTTTTACAGGTGGTTAGGTTCCATTAGGACAAAAGAAGAGTAAACATGTAGAACTTGTTTAGTTGATCAGTAGTTAATTAATTAATCAGTTAATTAATGGCGTGTCCTCAGGTGTGTCTTCTTGCCGGATAACGGAGCGTTCTTTGTTAACTACGTCATCGCGTCGGCTTTCATCGGAAATGCCATGGACCTGCTGAGGATCCCTGGTCTGCTCATGTACATGATCCGGCTCTGCTTAGCCCGCTCCGCCGCAGACCGCCGGAACGTAAAGAGGGTGAGTCTGGCTGCTGTCGGTGAGGAAATGGGCGGGGTTAAATGTCCGGACAGGTCTGTGACTGTACATGTGACCTCCCTGCAGCATCAGGCCTACGAGTTCCAGTTCGGAGCAGCGTACGCCTGGATGATGAACGTCTTCACCGTGGTGATGGCCTACAGCATCACCTGTCCTATCATCGTTCCCTTCGGTGAGTCCTGCACACGCTGCACTACCTGAATCAGCTTTCTGAGCAGGTGGAATCAGCTCACCTGTCCTCCACAGGTCTCATGTACATGCTGCTGAAACACCTGGTGGACAGGTACAACATGTACTATGCTTACCTGCCCTCCAAACTGGACAAGAAGATCCACTCAGGAGCCGTCACTCAGGTGGTGGCTGCACCCATCCTCTGCCTCTTCTGGCTGCTCTTCTTCTCCACCGTACGGACAGGTGAGCAGTGCTACCTGCTGGACCTCACTCACACCCGATCTGTTAGAGCAAGTCCGTCTCAGGAGAGAGGATCAGGTGGGCCACTCAGATCTGCAAGCAGGTGATGGGTTAGTGGCCTCTAACACTCKTGTCAGGTGACAGGTTATTGACCGCAAACTGAAGAGTTAATCTAACTCATCTTGTTAATAACTGGTGAATAGTAAAAACTGATGTCTGGTTCATAACTAGTGACTAGTTGATAACTGATAACTAGTTAATTGTTGGTGACTAGTGAATAACTAACTATTTAATAACATAACTAGGTAATAACTGATAACTAGTTAATAATTGATAACTAATTAATAACTGGTGACTAAATAATAACTGGCGACTAGTTAATAAATGGTAACTAGTTAATAACTGATAACCAGTTAATAACTTATTAATTATTACACNATAACTGGTGACTAAATAATAACTGGCGACTAGTTAATAAATGGTAACTAGTTAATAACTGATAACCAGTTAATAACTTATTAATTATTACACAATAACTAGTTAAWAACAAGTGATTACTTAATAATTGATAACTAGTTAATTGCAAGTGACTAGTGAATAACAATAACTAGTTATTAACTAATAACAAGTTAATATCTGGTGACTAGTGAATACTGATAACTAGTTAATATCAACAATTAGTTAATAACTGGTGACTAGTTAATAACTAGTGAATAGTTAATAACTGATAACTAGTTAATAACAAATATTATTTCTTACATGATAACTAGCTATTAACTAGTGATTAGTTAATAACTTATAACTAGTTAATAACTAGTGATTAGTTAATAACTTCTGACTAGTTAATAATTGATAACTAAGTAATAATTGGTGACTAGTGAATAACAATAACTAGTTAATAACTGATAACTAGTTGATAGCTGCTGACTAGTGAATAACGATAACTAGTTAATAACTGGTGATTAGGTAATAACTGATAAATAGTTAATAAATGATAACTAGTAATAGCTGATGACTAGTTATTAACTAGTGAGTAGTTAATAATTTATAACTAGTTAAAAAGGTGACCAGCTAATAACTGATAACTAGTAAATGACTAGTAATTAGTTATTGCCTGATTACTAGCTATTAACTAGTGATTATTTAATTATTGATAACTAGTTAATGGCTAGCGATTAGTTCTTATGTGATAACTAGCTATCAACTAGTGATTAATTTATAACTGATAACTAGTTAATAGCTAGTGACTAGTTAATAACTGGTGACTAGTTAATTGATAACTAGGTAATAACTATGACTAGTGAATAACGATAACTAGTTAATAACTGGTTATTAGGTAATAACTGATACCTAGTTAATAGCTGATAACTAGTTAATAGCTAGTGACTAGTGAATAAGGATAACTAGTTAATAAGTGATAACTAGTTAATTTCTGGTGACTAATTAATAACTAACTAGTTAATAACTAATAACTGTTTAATAATTGTTAATTAATTAATAACTGGTGACTAGTTATTAACTAATACTGAGTTAAACTGGTGACTAGTTAATAGCTAGTGACTAGTGAATAATGATAAGTAGTTATAACTGATAAGTAAATAGCTGGTGACTAGTGAATAATGATAACTAGTATAATTAGTGACAAGTTAATAACTGACAGTTAATAGCTGGTGACTTGTTAATAAATAGTGACTAGTTAATAACTGATAACTAGATAATAACTAGTGATTAGTTCTTACTTGATAACTTGCTATTAACTTGTAATTAGTTAACTCAACTGATAACTAGTTATTAGCTAATGACTAGTGAATAATAGTAATTAGTTAATAACCGATAACAAGTTGATTGCTGGTGACTAGTGAACAACTATAACCAGTTAATAACTGATAACTAGTTAAAAACTGATAATTAGTTAATAACTGGTGACTAGTTACTAATTAATAACTTGTTAATAAGTGGTACCTAATGCTAACTACCCCCAGGCTTCGAGACTCCCACCTCCATGTTCACCCTGGTGGTCCTAATCATCACCATCGTGGTCTGCCTGTCCCACGTCTGCTTTGGACACTTTAAGTATCTGAGTGCCCACAACTACAAGGTGAGTTTCACCAAAGTGGTCTGGATCCTGTTCTGGTCCTCTGTCTCACTCTGACTGTTCCTGTCTCAGATCGACACAAAGGACAACGAAACAGATGCTGTGAAAAATGGACGCCCTGCTCGGCCGTCGTCCTCGCCGACTTCCAAATCTCAGGTGAGTGTGTGGCTCAGAGCTTCTGTGGTCACGGCTCATGGTTCTGGASTGGTTCTGGCCCAGTTGACCCGGTGGTGTCTCTGTGTGTCCAGCAGCAGCAGACGCAGCAGCAGCAGATGTACATCGCCCAGGTGCTCCAGGACCCAAACTCGGATGAGCCAGGCGGGGCCAGCAGCGAGGAGGACCGGGGCTCGTCACAGGACGAGGAGATGCTGAACGGAGGGAGCAGCATCAACGAGGCGGATTTCCAGTCGGGGGAGGACAGTCTGATCGCCAACGAGGTCCACCAGTAGCTGGGGGTGGAGCCCGAGGGAGGGGCGGGGCTAACCACGCTTCAGTTCAAAAGAAAGCTGACTGGAGATTCACTGCTCGCACGCAGACAGTAGTCTGGCTTGGTTAGCTCCGCCCCCTCTCAGCCTGAAGACTTGACCCTGACGTTAGACGCCGAGCCGGCTCGCCAGCAGGAAGTCACTGTACATACCCGCCAAAACCTTTCCTGTCCTCTGGTGGGGGTTCAACTGGTGCCTGGCCTGGATCCTGATAGTCCACTCTGAGTCCTGATGGTCCTGTAGACCACCAGGACCTGGTTTTCTTATGGTCCTGTAGACCACCAGGACCTGGACTCCTGATGGTCCTGTAGACCACCAGGACCTGGTCTTCTTATGGTCCTGTAGACCACCAGGACCTGGACTCCTGATGGTCCTGTAGACCACCAGGACCTGATATTCTTGTAGACCACCAGGACCCGGTCTTCTTATGGTCCTGTAGACCACCAGGACTTGGTCTCCTGATGGTCCTGTAGACCACCAGGACCTGGTCTTCTTATGGTCCTGTAGACCACCAGGACCTGGTCTTCCTATGGTCCTGTAGACCACCAGAACCTGATATTCTTATGGTCCTGTAGACCACGAGGATCTGCACTCCTGATGGTCCTGTAGACCACCAGGACCTGGTCTTCTTATGGTCCTGTAGACCACCAGGACCTGGTCTTCTT